GGAGGCTGGGCTGGTTTTCAAGACAAATAGCTCAGCTCAAATATTCCCTGGAAGTGAGTTATACCCCAAGGGGATCTCTGTGTGGAGTTTTGGGGAGCGTGTGTCACTCAGAGACACTCGAGTGCCGGCACAAATGGCAAGGGCAGGGCTGAGCCCCAGCTCCCTTCCCCAGGAGGAACATGGACAGACAGCACTGAACACCTCTTCCTATGGGTATGAATAAATAATCCATAAATCCAGAGGGGGCTGGGTCTTTATTAGCACAAACACCTTCCTGCCGAGTGGGCAGCCCCATCCCTGAATGCTAAAAAAGGGCAGGAACGGGCTCTGGCTGCCTCTGCAGCCAACACTCCCACGCACAGCTCCTGTTCCAGGGGCTCCTGCCTGGCCTCACCTGACTCCCCAGATCAGGAGATGGCACAGGGACTGTGACCCCCCTGCCGGGGCCTCAGCCGTGGGCTGAGCCACCAGTGCTGCCCACAGAGCCCTGAGCCCTCTCCCAGCCCTGCAGGGCTGTCCCTGCCCCAGCACTGCCCCCACTCTCCCCTGGCCCCTCCATTTGGGATCTGCTCTCCCCTCGTGCTCACATCAGGGCCTTTGCTGACCCCCAGACCTCTCCTGTGTCCTCTGCTCTGCCCCAGGTGGATTTTGAGGATGTGATAGCTGAGCCCGTGGGAACCTACAGCTTCGACGGCGTCTGGAAAAGCAGCTACACCACCTTCACCGTCAGCAAGTACTGGTGCTACCGCCTGCTCTCCGCCCTGCTGGGCATCCCCCTGGCCGTCCTCTGGGGCTTCCTCTTCGCCCTCATCTCCTTCTGCCACATCTGGGCCGTGGTGCCCTGCATCAAGAGCTACCTGATCGAGATCCAGTGTGTCAGCCGGATCTACTCGCTGTGCATCCACACTTTCTGTGACCCGCTCTTTGAGGCGCTCGCCAAGATCTGCAGCAACGTCCGAGTTGCCATCCGCAAGGAGACTTAGGTCCTGGCAGCTGCCCCAACACCCTCACACAGCCCCCTCTGTGCAGGCTGCCTGCCCTCGGGCACAGGACACCCCTGTCCAGGGAGGAGCCCAGACATGGACACCCCTGCCCAGGGAGGGACCTACACAGGGACACCCCAGTGAGGAACCCACACAGGGACACCCCAATGAGAAACCCAACCAAGGACACCCCTGCCCAGGGAGGGACCTACACAGGGACACCCCAGTGAGGAACCCACACAGGGACACCCCTGCCCAGGGAGGGACCTACACGGGGACACCCCAGTGAGGAACCCGCACAAGGACACCCCAGTGAGGAACCCACACAAGGACACCCCAATGAGAAACCCACACAAGGACACCCCTGTCCAGTGAGGAACCCACACAGGGACACCCCTGCCCAGGGAGGGACCTACACGGGGACACCCCAGTGAGGAGCCCACACAGGGACACCCCAGTGAGGAACCCACACAAGGACACCCCTGTCCAGTGGGGATCCACACAGGGACCCTGTGGCACAGGAGCCCGTGGCAGGACCCCACAGCAGAGCTGGCTCTCAGGGATGCTCTCTGCTCATGGAGGCAGGCCAGGCTGCTCCTTACTGCACCCAAAGCCAGAAGCCTCAGGAGAAGGGAGCCCATGGTGGCCCAGGGAACAGCCCAGAGGCCCCTGTGCCCTGCAGGCCCCCAGAGTTCCTGGGAGGGACAGGGACAGCAGCCCCTCCTGGAGCACAGCCCTGGGCACAGCCCTGTCTGTCCACGTGCTGGGTGAGCACTGGGGCTGCAGAGCTGCTGCTGGCCACTGCCCAAAGCCTGCCTGCCCCTGCATCCCTTGGGGCTGGGCTGGTGCTGACAGAAACTCCCCCACAGGAGTTATTGTTTGTGGCAAACAATTGCTGTGGTGGGAGCTTCTGCATTAAATGCTGCACAAAGCTTTTAGTGATAGAATAGCTAAACCAAACGCTTTTCATGCCTACTTGCATTTCAGCCAAGCTGTGAGAGCCAGAGCAGGCCATGCATGACATGTTGTGTCTGCTCCCAGAGCGTGAGCTGATCCTGGGCCAGCTGCAAACCCGCCCTGGCACTCCGAGGCTCAATTATGTAATTAGTTGTGGAGCATTGTCAGGTGCTGTGGGCAGGGTCCAGGGAGGACAGCACGGTGGGAGCCAGCCCTGAGTGTGGCCAGGGGGGACACAGCGCCTGGGGGAACCCCAGCTCAGACACAAGCTGGGCTCTGAGCAAAGCCCGGCTTGGCTTCCCAGGCAATCTCCATGAGATGCCTTCAGTCAGCTCAGCCACACGGGGTGTGCACCCCACAGGCCAGGGCTGTCCCTCTGCCCCAATGGACAGGGAGAGCAGAGGAGGGAGCCTCTGCTGGGACCCTGCTGCTCTGGACGCAGGGAAAGAGGAGCCAGGGCCGAGAGGTGCAGCTCAGAGCTGTTTCCTCCCCTGTACTGCCAATTAACTGCTCGGTCCCTCTTCCACGGAGCTGCACTTTCACTTTGAGGCCCTTGAACGCTCTTTTGGCTCCAGCCTTAAGTGCTTTGCTGAACCAGGGCCCAGGAGGTCTCCTTGTTCAGAGGCTGCTCTCAATTGTCTCCATGTGCGCCTTCCCCTTGGATTCCAACAAAGACTTGGAGCCAAAGGCTCCTCTAGTGCCACGCCAAGGACAAGAAAGAGCCAGGGTTTCTGCTGGAGCTCTTCCAAGGGCTTGGGATTGTATACTGCTGTTATTCCATAGCAATGTGGTACCCAAGCTCCAGCAACATCAGGGCCCAAGGAGGTAATTTTAGGGAGGTGGAGGAAAGTCTCAAAAAAACCTTCATTTTTTTGTGAGAATAAAAATAATTAAAATCAATTGTATAATGGGCTTATACTACTTCTTGTTGTTGTTGTTCTAGTAGTTCACTGCCTGATCCCAAAAAACCTTGAAATGCTGATGTCCCCACCACATTGCTCCCTGGGCTCCCAACATCTGGGGCACACCTGCTCACCTGTCAGCACCTCTGTTTCCACTTTTTGCTCCTGGAAAGCTTTTGGCAGAGCATTCACTGGGGCGCTCCCCAGCTGCTCTTGCTGCCCCCGCTCTGTCGCAGCCTGGGGCCAGTGCAGGAGCTCAGCCACAGCCCCTCTGGGCTGCAGCACCTCCAGGCCCGGGGCATGGCCCTGCCTGACCCCCAGACACCTCCAGAAATTGCAGCCGGGGCTGAAGGGAATTCCTGTGAGTCCCAAAGCTCCCTTCCTTCTCCGTGCCTCCGTCCCAGAAACATCCACGGCTCTTGTTCCTCCCTGGCAGGGGGATGCACCTCAGACTCTCCAGAAAGGGACACCCCTCCTCACCTGTTTGGTGCAGGAGTGTGTGGCTCTCAAGGAGAAGGAAGGTGAATGTGGGAAGAAAATGCTCCATGGTGTCCTGAGGATTTCAGCCAGTCAGCAAATGTGCTGAGAGCTCACTTGGAGTTCCCACCAAAAAAAAAATAATCAAACGAATGTCAGGATAGGAAAGGTGCAAATGGACCTGCTGGCCACAGTGAAGAAATGAAGGACACGTTTAAATGCATTTTTCGTGTTCATTCCCATCACGAAAGGCCGGATTACATCGCCCTTTGAGAGCCCCAGCTGTGTCCCCGTGCAGTGCCCGTGTCCCCGTGTCGCAGCCGGCTGTGTGCCGCTGGGGCAGGTCCTGCTGTGGGGCAGGGCACGGCTGGCTCTGGCCTTTCGGTGCTTCCCATCCATCCCCTTCAGCCCCTCAGCCCGGCTCCCCCGCGCCTCCCTCCGCCTTCCACCAGACGCGGTCAGAAAACTTTATTTACAGTATTTGTTAACAATAAAAATCCATGCCGCGAGCGTGCCCTGTGCCGTGGGGCGAGCGATTGGCGCGGAGCGGGGGGAGGCTTGCTGGACCTGCGCTGAGCCAGGGCCGAGCCTGGCTCGGGAACACGGCAGGAGTGTCCCTGTCGGAGCCAGGGATCCCGCACAGCCCCGAGCAGGAGCTGCTGGGCACACCCGGCCAGGGGATCCCAGCCCCAGCTGTGCCCCAGGCTCCTGCCCAGACTCACTGGGCACAGGGAGCAGAGCTGGGCTGGGGACACCCGGGCCACAGTGCTGTCCCTTCGAGGCTGGTCCCTGCCGACCTCAGGAGTGACTGCCCTTGTCTGTGCCCCAGGCAGGGGAAGCAGGGCTGGCATGGTGCAGGGCTGCAGGGCTGGCATGGTGCAGGCTGGCATGGTGCAGGCTGGCATGGTTCAGGGCTGCAGGGCTGGCATGGTTCAGAGCTGGCATGGTTCAGAGCTGCAGGGCTGGCATGGTGCAGGGCTGGCATGGTTCAGAGCTGGCATGGTTCAGAGCTAGCATGGTTCAGGGCTGGCCTGGTTCAGGGCTGGCATGGTTCAGAGCTGCAGGGCTGGCATGGTGCAGGCTGGCATGGTTCAGAGCTGCAGGGCTGGCATGGTTCAGAGCTGCAGGGCTGGCATGGTGCAGGCTGGCATGGTTCAGAGCTGCAGGTCTGGCATGGTTCAGAGCTGGCATGGTTCAGGGCTGCAAGGCTGGCATGGTTCAGGGCTGCAGGGCTGCAGGGCTGCAGGGACGGGGCTGCCTCCACCCCACAGGCTGCAAGTGCAGCGAGCACTCCATGCTGAGACCGTGGTGCCAGGCGCTGCCATCCTGCAGGATCCTGCTGCAGGCAGAGTGGGACAGTGCCCAGCCACGTACCAGGGGTGACACCACCCATCTCCCTGTGCCGCAGCAGCCCCTTCCATCGCACCTGCCCCAGCTGCACCGCGTCCTTTGTCCCTCCTGGTGGCACTCACAAGACACTGAGGTCAGGTCTAATCCCAGGCAGCACTGAAAGCTGGACACAGAATTCCTCGCCCGCTCCCGTCTCAGTTAAATAACGCCTCTGTACATGCTTACAGCCATATATACACCTGTGTACAGACCCCTCCTGTCCGGGCCCGCTGTCCCCAGGGAAGCACCGGAGCAGCGCAGCAGAGGCACAAGGTCCCGGCTGGCCGTGGCCTCACGTCGTGGGCGGCTGCACGAAGCTCCTCTGGCTCGTGGCCCTGCAGCTGAGGACGAAGGAGGAGGAGTTGCTCCTCTTGCTCAGCTCGCAGGCCGGCCGCGACTTCAGGTAGCGCGTGGAGCAGCAGAGGAAGCGGCGCATCAGGTCATGGAAGAGGTGCCCGGTGTAGAGCATGTAGATCCAGGGGTTGCAGCAGCTGTTGAGGCTGGCCAGGAGCATGGCGATGATGAAGGGGGAGGCTGCGAGACAGAGGCACAAGAGCTGGCTCAAGGTGTCGGCACGGAACACGGCCCCGGGCAGAGCCCCAGGCACCCCGAGACCCCTCCCCGGCAAGGCTGGGCCCGCAGGGACAGCAGGGAAAGGAGAGGCCACAGGAACAGCAGGGAAAGGAGAGTCCGCAGGAATATCCCGGGAAAGGAGAGCCCGCAGGAACAGCAGGGAAAGGAGAGGCCACAGGAACAGCAGGGAAAGGAGAGGCCACAGGAACAGCCCAGGAAAGGAGAGCCCACAGGAACAGCCCAGGAAAGGAGAGCCCGCAGGAACAGCCCAGGAAAGGAGAGCCCGCAGGAACAGCAGGGAAAGGAGAGCCCGCAGGAATATCCCGGGAAAGGAGAGCCCGCAGGAACAGCAGGGAAAGGAGAGCCCGCAGGAACAGCAGGGAAAGGAGAACCCGCAGGAACAGCACTGACAGGAGAGCTGCTGCTGCTGCTGCTGCTGCTGCTGCTGCTGCTGCTGCTGCTGCTGCTGCTGCAGGGGAGGGAAGGAGGGGACGAGTCTCAGTTCCAGCGCCTCGGGGTTCGGCTTTTCCCCACCAGAGCTGCGTTTCTCCGCTCGCTCCGGCGTTCCCTGGCGCCGCTCAGGAGGCAGAGCCGGCACGGCCCGCACGCCTCGAGGCGCCCGAAGCGGGGAAGGCACCGCGGGCCTGGCAGCTGCCCTGGCCAGGAGCAGCTCTGGGAGCAAGCGGAGGCGGCGGCTCATTCCTGCACAGCGGAGGCTGCTTTGGGACGGGCTCTCGGCTCCAGCCCTCGGGCTGTGGCACAGCCTCGCTCCTGGGCTGTCCCCACGGCCAGCCCGGCCCTGGCCGAGCCTCGGCCCGGTGCTCTCCCCGCACCTCTCTCCAGCCATCTTTCTTTTCCCCGAATTAATGCTCCCCACACGGTGCTCTGCCAGGGAGGAGGGCATTCCCACATCAGGGATGAAGCCCGGGAGCCTGGCATCCCCGGTGGCAGCGCAGTGCCAGGATGTCAAGCCCTGGATGCTGCTGTCTGTGCCCAGAGCACAAAGCACCGGCTGTCCCACCTGGAGGCTGGATCAGCACCGTCTGGTGACAAGGGGCGGGTGGCACTGGCATCTGCCACGGCGCCAGGACAAGGAGGGACGAGCCCTCCATGAGGTGGCTGCGGGTGGAGATGGAGCCTCTGTCCTGCTCCCTGTGGCCCAGCTCATCTCCTCAGCCCCTCTGCTCCCAGAGGACACACCAGCAGCGAGGATGAGCACGGCGGCTTTGGCTGCTCTGGCCCCTTTGTGCCTCTGCAAAAAACCACTGGCAGCTTTTACACCAGTGAAGAAATGTGGCTATAAATGCTACCTTCTAAATTCACCTTTAGCCAATGGATGCGTAATTCCTGCTCTTGTGACGTCTGCTCCAACTACTTTTAATTTCAAGTATATTCTAAAAAATAATTAACAATTAATTTCAAGTAACATTAATATTTCAACAATGATTAATTTCAGGTATATGCTAAAAAATAATTCCATGCAGAGGCACAAGACCTGAAATATATCCCAGTGTTTCTACCCACTTGAAAACATCCAGCCAGGGCTGACTCAGCTCTTCCTCTCTGCAGGAGGCAAATTGAATTTCAGGGAGCTTACTGCAGGGCAGGTCTGGAGGGTGGATCGCTCCCCTCCCTGGCCGGAGCACCAGAGACCCCCGAGGTGTGCTGAACGTGTCCCTCAGGGATGGCCCCTGTCCCCAGGCCCTGCTGGAGGGTGGGCAGACGTGCAGGCTGCGCCCCAGCAGGGCTGGGGGGCTCTGCTGCCAACACCAGCACAGGAGGGATGGGACAAGGGGTCTCCAGCTCCCAGCACTGGCTGCAGCACCTGCCCCAGGGGGAAGGGGCTCCGAGAGGGAGGTAGGACGGCCGAGGTGTTTCACAGCCCTGCTCTTGCCCTCACAGGTGCCTTGAGCCAGCTCTGTCCCCAGGCTCAGATCCCGCAGGTGTTCCCTGTGATGTGTGTGCAGCAGGAGCCTCCCGTGGAGGGGCCCCAGTGCTTACAGCAGCACCTGGATCATAGCGTGCAGCTCCCACTCACCCTACAGAGGCTCTGGGGTGTGTGGCCACCCAAGGGGCATCTCTGCTGCCTGGCCAGTCGCCCCCAGTGCAGCTCACGGGGTGCAGTCGTGCCCCCATTGCCGCTGACACCCAGGGACCCCCTGCCCTCCTTCCCCTCTGCCCACACAGCTGTGGGGGGAGGAACAGCCCCATTCCCTTCCCAGCACGGGGAACCCCTCTCCTGCACCCACCACGCTGCCTGGGCCAGCACCCGAGCCCCAGCACGGCAAGGGTGCGAGGTCAGGCAGGGCTGTGGGAATGCTGCAGGCAAAGCCCCAGTGCTCTGCAGAGAGATCTGACTGCGCTGCCCCCCTCGTGCCTCTGGGCAGCCAAAAGGAGCAGGAGAGCATGGAAGGAAGGGCTGGGGTCTCCCAACACTTGTATCCACCCCAGGCTTTTCCTCCCCGTGCCTCCAGCGAGAGCCCTGGCAGAGCTCCCACCCTGTGCCGCAGCCTCGGGCTGCCCAGAGGCAGGAGCAGAGCCAGGTGGGAGTGGGGAATGGGGCACAGCCCAGAGGGGATGGACAGCACTCATTCCTGAAAGCAAAGGGGGAAGGGAAAAGGAAAAGGGAAAAGGGAAAAGTGCTGCAAGGCCCACGGCACAGGGTGAGCAGGGGAAGGTTCCCCATGCAGCCAGAAGGATTGGGATGGACAAATCCTGTCCATCGAGGGTCAGCAAAGCAGCAGAGATTTGGGTGCTGCCGAGGGCTGTGTGCTGGGAAGGGAGGGGCAGCCCTCAAGGCCGCAGGATTAAAATACAGCACAAGGAGGGCTGCTTCACCCCGGAGCCCGTGTAGGAACTGGAAGTTTTGACCAGCGTGAATCAGGTGGAAAACCCCTGGAGCACCCAGGGAGGTGCATGAGCCACATTCCACTTCTCCTGGAATAACCGGAGCACAGAGAAGCAGGAGAGGCAAAGCACGGCTCCCTGGCAGCCCGGGGGCACACGGCTGCGGGCACGGGGCTTGCACTGGGCTGTGCGGCGGGGATGGGCTCGGCACGGGCAGGGCTGGGCTCAGCCGTGCCCCGCGGGCTGCCCCGAGCCAGCCGCACAGCCCGGGCCGCCAGGGAGCAGCTCCTCCTCGGTCTCCTGCTGAGCTGGCTCGGTCTGTCCGCGGCGCTCTCAGCCCTGAGGGCCCTTTCCTGCCCCATCTCCCACCTCACAAAGTCGTGAAGAGTTTTTGCTTAAGGCCTGCCAGGTGGTTCTCCCGTCTGGCGGGGACAGCACAGACCTGCACAGCTCCAGCCGTGTCAGACCAGGCAGGGGGACACTTTCTGTTCTATCTGCAACTTCAGGGACGACAGCAGCCAGCCCAATATAAAAAATGGCAAATCCGTGACACCCAATCTTTAGGAAAAGGTTTCGCTCATAAATCAGGGTTTTTCTACGGGAACCGTGCTCCAGTCAGAGATCAAATAACAGCAGCACAGTGCCGGGGTGGATGGAGCAGGAGGAGAGGGAGAAGGGGCCAAGAGCAGAAGGCAAAAAGTCAGCGAGGAAGAAACAATGAAACAAAGGAAAGGAATTCAGGCTGTGCAGCTTTCTCCTGAGCTCCCGCACAGCCCGCAGCATGTCCCAGCACCCGGGGTGGGCAGGGAATCTCCAGGGACCCCAGAGCAGCCCCCAGGGACCGGCACCGTGCAGGGACAGTGGCCGTGCAGGGACAGGCACCGTGCGGGGACAGGCACCGTGCAGGGACAGGCACCGTGCGGGGACAGGCACCGTGCAGGGACAGTGGCCAGGCAGGGACAGTGGCCATGCAGGGACAGGCACCGTGCGGGGACAGTGGCCGTGCAGGGACCGACACCGTGCAGGGACAGTGGCCAGGCAGGTACAGTGGCCATGCAGGGACCGGCACCGTGCAGGGACAGTGGCCGTGCAGGGACAGGCACCGTGCAGGGACAGTGGCCGTGCAGGGACAGGCACCGTGCAGGGACAGTGTCCAGGCAGGGACAGTGGCCAGGCAGGGACAGCCCCTGCACTGCCCACCCACCCTGTGCAGTGCCGGCCCCGAGCCGCAGTGCCCCGGAGTTTGCCAGAGCCACGGCAGCCCTTCAGCCCTTGACCCAGGAGGCTGCGGCTCAGCCACTGCTGCCTGCCGGGGTTTCTGTGCTCAGGACTTTGTCCCCTCTCCCTGCCACCCCCAAGCCCAGCCCGGAGCGGTTCCCCCGGGTGTCCCCAGGGGCTGAGCAGAGCCCCCAGGGCCAGCAGGGCGAGGGAGGGGAGCTGTACCTTCCTGCGGGGCGTTGGTGTCCCACACAGACCACATCTGCACGAAGAAGAAGGGAGTCCAACACACGATGAAGGCCAGCACGATGATAAAGGTCATTTTGACAGTCCGGATCTTGGCTTTAGAGATGAGCCTGGTGCTGCTGACCCTGGCAAACACCATCCCGCCGCGGGAGCCCGAGCCCAGACCCGCGCTGGGCCCGTGAGACGTCTTCAGCTTCACGTTCTGCCAGATTTTGAAGCTGATTAAGCCATAGCAGATGCTCAGCATCAACACAGGGATGATATAGACCATGAGGGTGATCCAGGTAACATAGGCTTTCGGTCCCCAGGGCTGGATGAAATCTGCCCAACAGTCATAAACCCCGTTCCCCACATCCCTTAGAGAAAATATGTGGATCTGAGGGATGCTGACCAGCAGGCACAGCAGCCAGGTGAGGAGGACAGAGACCCGGTCAGCCCTCCTGTGCAGGGACCTCAGAGGCTGACAGATGGCCAAGCAGCGGTCCAGGGACATCAGCAGCAGCATGTAGGTGGAAGCGAACATTCCCACCACCTGCAGGTACTTGATCAAGCGGCAGAGGAAGTCTGGCCCGTAGAACCTGAAGGTGATGTCCCAGATGAGCTGGGGCAGCACCTGGAAGATGGCCACAACCAGGTCAGCGATGCTCAGGTGCTTCATGAAGAAGTACATGCGGGAGTGCTTGTGGCGGGTGGTGTGGATGGCCAGGAGCACGCAGAGGTTGCCGGTCAGGGCGAGGAACAGGATGAGGCACAGCACTGTCACCTCCACCTTGGCCATGTCCTCGTTCCTCTTCAGCGGGTCGGCGGTGCTGTTCCTGCCGGCGCTCAGGTTCTCCAGCCGGAGGCTGCCGTTCCCCAGGGAGCTGTTGATGATCCAGGTGCTGCTCCCCGCCAGGTACAGCTTCTCCATGGCCAGCGCCGGCCCGCATCGAGCCTGGGGCAGGGTGAGGACAGAGAGTGGGCAGAGCTCCTTCCGATGCGTTCCCGTGCGGTAGCTGGCTGTCCCCGCCGCTCTCTCCGCGTCTCCCGGTTCTCAGTGTTCCGCGGCTCTCCGTGCGCCCCCGCTCCGTGTCCGCTGCCGTCCCCTCCCCGCCGTGCCGCTCCCTCTGCCCGCCCGTCCCTGTCCCCTGTCCCGGCTGGCGGCTCCTCCCTGTCCCCTCGCCGGTCACTCGGCGTCTCCGCCGGCGGCTGCCCCGCCACAGCCCCGGCGCAGGGGCCGGGCGAGCGGCGGGGGCGCGGGCAGAGGCGGGTCCGGCCCGGCCCCTCGGGGCCCGCCCGCGGCCTCTGGCCCCGCACCCGGACCCGCCTCAGCATCTTCCCCGCGCCCTCTGCGGAGCGCGGCCGTTCGCGCACCCGGCCGGCAGCGCCGCTTCCCCGCAGCCCCTTTCGAGCAGCCCCGGTTCCCCGCAGCCCCTTTCGAGCAGCCCCGGTTCCCCCGGGCAGCCCCGCTCCGTTCGGGCAGCCCCGGCTCCCCCGGGCAGCCCCGGCTCCCCCGGGCAGCCCCGGCTCCCCGCAGCCCTTCTAGGGCAGCCCCGGTTCCCCGGAGCGGTGCTGCGGTGATGGGCGCAGCCCAAAGCCCCAAGCCCCCGGTGTCGCGGCTCCGGGCACGTCGCGGAGGGTGGGTGGGTGGGTGGGAGCACGGACCAGGCTCACCCCCAGCCCTGCCCTGCCGGAGCTGCCGTCACAGGACACCAGGGAAGGTCCCCCCGTAGGTGCCAGCCCGGCCTCGTCCCGGGAGCAGGCTCACGAGTTGGGCACTCGGCAATTAACACACCCACCAAGAACTTGCCTTTCCTTTATTATTTCTATAAAAGAAGGAGCAGTACTATGAGTGACACCATTTGTCACCAGCTCATCAGCACAGCTCAGTGGCTGTCCCCATTTTCAGGCTCCCTACAAGGGATCCAGAACCTGAAAGTGCAGGTGGGATGCTGAGAAGAGCATGGAACCCTCCCAGTCCTCCCCTCAGTCCAGCAGCCCTGAAGGCCCCCAGCATCACCACCCTTTGCTCCCCACTTCCAAGTCACATCTCAAATCCTCCTCAGCCCAGCCTTAGGCCCTGAACAAACATCCCTGCAGCTATTTTTAAAGAGTTTTTGGGAAGTTTTAGCTCCATGCAAGATGAAGAAATGTTACATACTTTGGCATGTTCTTCCCTCTAGGGTTCACGTTCTTCCATCTTCAGGCAATAAAACTGCTGTGGGAAACGCTGCTCACCATGTGCAATGCTGCTTTTTTTACTGTTCTGCTGGTTCTGGGAGAGCTCTCGGAGGAGGTGGCTGGGCCAAAGTAGAGGCAAGGAAAGGTTTGCCCTTGGCTTCTGCTCAGTTCCCTGGGGACTCAGGTGTGGCTCAGCACCCGTGAGAGGGTGCCTGGGTGAGGCAGAGCAGCCACTGCTCCTCTCTGGCCTTGGACAAGGTGTCACTCACAGCTGCATAGACCCAGCTCCCTTCAGAACAGACCTGAACTGCTGGAAAGAGCCCAGTGTCCCTCGAGCAGCCCCTGCACGAGGCAGCTGAGCAGCTCCAGGGGTGCTGGGCAGCTCTGAAATGCATTTGATGGCAGCAGGAGGCCCAGGTGCTCAGCTGGGGAAGTGCCAGGATTGCCCCTGTTTGTCCCCATGCCAGTGCCACACTGCTCCCAGGGCCACGTGCTCTGACACACGGCCTTGACTTGGAGTGCAGGAGCAGCAGAGCGGGGACTGCACACCCAGGGCCTGAAATCTGGGGATGCATCAGGATAACATCCAGCTCCTGGGCCCTTCCCCAGGTGAGCCCATCAGGGCTGGGCCGTGGCCCCAACAGCCAGAGATGCTCAGTCCTTATTCAGGCAAAGCTGCAGCTGCTCCACGACTAAAACCCAAACACATGTGATTTTGAAGCAAAGAATCCTGTGAGAATCAAAGGGTTTTCTGAGTCATCCCTACTTCTTCCAGCTTTAAATGTTCAGGGATGCCATGGAGCTGGAAACAGTTTTATTTTAAAATACATGTTTCGGGACAATCAAAAGCACAAACACTAAATAAAGCTAAATTTAATTGCATTTTGGTTTGCTGCTGGATCTGAAATAGCTGTTTTTCCAATAGCTATCTGGAATCACAACTTTATGGTCCCCAGGACAGTAGAGGGCTGGCAAAATGTCAAGCCCAGGCCACAGCTTTGCAGATGGAGCTGCAGCCGCCCATGAACTCGTGCATGGCTGCAGCCCACAGCAGGCTGGAGAGCCAGGGTATGGGCCCTGGCTGCTCTTGCATGGCAATTTCTCTTTATCCTAGCATTTTTTCCTAGTCCTCATCTCTTGCACTCAGCCTGCAGGAAGCCTAACTCTGGTAAATCTACCAAAAGCATGGAAATGAGCAGTGCCATGGACTCATCTTCATGGAAAAGGCATACCTGTGCTTCCACACAGAGCTGATGAATGCTGGGTGTTAAATCAGGCTTGGGAACATCCTGAGGGCACAGTAAATTACAACTTTTCTGTGTCTTTCTTAAATGTGCACAGGAGTAAATTCTCAAGTCTGATATCAAATTCTTCCATGGCTCACCAGCTGGTGTGCTGATTTCCAGAAAAATACACAATCAATATTGTAATCTGCACCAAAGGAAACAAAGCTTTGGAGACAAAACATGGAAATATCAGCAATGCACAGAATTATTTGGTCCCAAACCCATACACCCAATTCCTTGTGTCACTGGGCTCACTGCTCAGGGGGAGCATAAGCCAGTCCAGACCTGTGTACTCAGATGCAGGTGACAGTCACACTGCTGGGTAATGCTGTGTCATCCATCACATCCCCTGCACCGTCCTCTGGCCGTGTTATTTCTTTCTGTTAGCTGAAAAACAACAATGACCAAAAATCCCAGCCAAAAACCTAGTACTCAGATTGATCACAATTAAAAAAAAAAAAAAAAAAAAAAACAACAGAAAAAAACCTGCAGCCACGGTCAGTGCCAGAATTGCTGGCCTGTCACACTACCTGGCTGTCAGACTCGTGCCGTGGCTGGGGAGGGCTGTGGAAACTGAGTCATCAGAACATTACTGGGAAGGGAGAAGGAGCCAGAGAAGCTGACTTGTGTATGCAGACAAATGGAGAAGGGAGGATCTACTTGGATGCTGCAGTCTCGAGTTCTATAAAGCATTCACAGCAGAAAGAGAATTCACACGAATTCATGCGCATATCAAGAAAATTTCTTCTTTTCTCTTCCCCAGTGTGAAAAGAAAAGAAGTGTGGCACTACACTGAACTTACTCAGTGCTAGAGAACCTTTCACATCATGTCCCTAAAAGGTTTGTGGGATTCAAACCATTTCCTCTGGGTCCCCAGCTCACTGAAATCCACCAGCCTCTGCTCCCATGGCCTGCAGCCCACAGCAGCACTGGAGCCCGAGTCAGGCTCATCCAGCTTTGGGAGCCACATCCTGGAAAAGGAGCCTGAGCCTCCCGGCATGGAGCCAGCACACATCTCCATGGCCAGGATTGCTGGAGAAACCCGCAGAGCTCTGCAGACACATCCCAGAGCACACTGAGGGGCCACCTCCGCCCCAGGCGGGCCCTGGGACACAGCAGCAGGGCTCTGATCAAATCAACCAGCCTAAACCCATTTAGAGGAGAGCAGGCTATGGATCCTGCTGATCCCATAATCCAGGCTGGTCCTGCCATCCTGACAGTCCCACCCAGGCTGGGCACAGCCTCGCAGGGTGGATGCAGGATGGTTTCTGTGGAACTCCCCCACTCCCACCCGCCCATCGCACCCCGAGCCCAGCAAAGGGGGACAGAGGCTCTCCCCAGGCACCTCCCTGAGCAGCCAGGCCTGCACAGGGCTCCCAAGGACGCTGTTTGTGCTAAAATGTTCCTTGCTTCATCCCATTATGGCCTCAAAGCCCATAAAACCAATGGAGCCTGCCCAGACCCTGGCAGTAACAAGTTGGGATAATAAAGTTGAAATATGTATCCATGTGGTTTTTAACAAAGAGGCTTCAGGTTCAAGCTGTTGGGAGATAACACAATCATTTTACTACTTTTGGGGGGGATTACTACATTTGTGTGTAACTTCAAGGTGCTCATTGCAGTGCCCTGAACTCCCACTCACCATGAAGGAATGAAAAGCAAAGTGAGCCCCAGAGCCCTGGGGCTGTACCCATGGCACTGGGATGCACACCTGCAGCACTGACAGACAGGGCCTGCACACCCAGTGTCACACTCAGTGCCACTCCTGGCTCTGGGGTGTTAACTAAACCTTCCCAGAGCCAGAGGTGTGGATCACAGCACTGCCTGCAGCCCCTCCACACACCCTGATGCTTCTGCCCACTGAAGTGAGGCACTTTGAACAAAATATAAATAGCAAGATCCATGTGAGATTTTGTTAGGTAAAAATAGAAGAATCAGCAAAACCAGAATATAGTCTGGTTTAATATATTCATATGCAAATTCTACATTTATTTGCATATGTATATAAAAGAAAGTGAGTCACGTTTGTTGCTCATCACTACAACAATCTTAGCCAAGTGACAGGAAGGAGACTGCAATCCCCAGGATAATTCAGTAGATATGTGAGAGTGTCTAAGCAGATGTGTCTGGGAATGCCCACATAGGTGAGGATTCTTCCACACAGCCCCCATTTCTATTCCACCAAATACCTGCAATGAAATCCCCAGTCCAGGCTCCAGGAATGCCTCTGTAGGGCCAAATAATTAACCAGAGCAGTGAGCTTTCACTGCAAAACTGAAGCCCAGCTACATTTATATAAACTTTTCAGCCTCACTAATTACTTCCCATTGGCAGTAATATGTTTACCTTCTTCCTGAAGCTGGTAACTCATGCTCTTCTTTATTTAGTTCCAGGTGGTTGTTTTGGAGCCAACTCACCAATTTGTCCAAATCATTTTGAATTCAGGCCCTCTGGCTGCTCCAGT